TGTACTAAACGTAATATAACTTTTCCCATGATTATCCCTCTTCATTTCATGAAGGTACATCGAAAACATCAAAAATTAAGGTTATGTTTTTTCATAACTCAACGCCCCTGTTTTATGCGACACGATATAATTGTTCCCTTTAGAAAACCCGTAAGACTTGTTATTTTTGCTCTATCTTGTTTTCTCTTAAAGATATGGCGTATTTTGTAATATTTTGGGGTTATACCATATTATAAATACCCGTTTAATCAATACTTTCTCTGCATCGATCTGCAATTCATACAATAACTATTTTTTAATTTACTTTATTAAAATAATAATATCAACTAGTATATATAGTATGAATATTAACTACTATATTTTATACACATACGCGTAGGCAAATATGTACACACCTGCACAGTAAAAGTAGAAAGTACACACACACACACACACACACACTCATTATACATAAACACTTTAATGGTTGCATACTTGCATCCATAATTGTGTAAACAAGTTACATGTCTTTTATGCCTTACGATTCAAGAGTTGACAAGTTTAGTGATTGTGTAGTCGAACATTGCATTGCAAGTGACTATTTCCACCATTGACTTGGGCTTAATTTTTATCGTTACTCAGTCACACTGTAAATAATAGTAAATCTTTTTATTCACATTTCAATACTTTTTTTTTACAGCCATTCTGACAAACTGTGCATATATGTAACGGTTCTGCATTGATGTGTTACTCTGAATGTCAATTCTATTGTCATTGGCAATCACCTCAGATTTATTGTGAACCAATAAATTTTACAACCATGGGGACACCTTATATTACATAGTTTCCGAACCATCGGACCACGGTTTGAAATACGCACATGAGAAATTAGTTTTCCAGAGGTTCGAGCTAAGTGAAGAGCTTCACACTCTTGAAGTCATAAAAAAAGACTTCATAAGTCATTCTAAGTCTTTCAAAGACTTCAGAAAATCTCCAAAAGATTACAGATTTTTTACCGGGATGTCAAGAGTGCATATAGCTTAAAATCATTAAAAAAGACTTCAGAAGTTATTTTAAGTATTTCAAAGACTTTAGAAGTCTCCAAAAAGACTTGTGACTGCACAGCTCCTCGAAACTAAGTGAGTAAAAGCTGACTCTCGAACTCGTAAGCATGTATTACCAGACCCTCGAGCGACAAGAACTGCAGCCTAAATCACTGTGCTACCGTGGCTGCTAATCCACACTTTAATTCAATGTTTTACAAATCGAACGCAAAAAGGATTTTCTTGATGTTTATCTGTTGTAATATGTTTATCTGATGATATATCTCACTTTGAATGCGAACAAATAATTTCTAAAAAATTTGCGCCAGTTAAAGTTTTTTAATAATAATCCTATGGCTTTTTGTCCATACAAGTAAAGGTTAAAAATTTTTTTCAAACACATCAGTGATTCAAACAACTTAGACCGAAACCTTATTAAGTGTCACCCACCCCCGTTGAAGTGCGTAAGAATAACATTATCGCTGATGCCCGGCAATTATATACCATAAGTAGAGGGACATTGCCATACATAATTAATACCTACCTGGAAGTAATTAAATTATTATTCATCTTATCAAGAAATTTTAGTTTTAATCAAGAGCTGATGCAGAAATCTCTCTGAAATCACTAAATTATATTGTCATAAAAATTAGCGAGACATTCAAAAAATCATAATACCAATGAGGATCATTTTTCATGATCATTAATTTACCGTCTGGGAATGTATTGAAATAAACTTTCAAGTAATGATACACCGAAATTTCACAGACATGTACCTTAAATCTAGACGTTCACTTAACTATCACTTATCAAGCATATATTTTTAAAACGTAAAAAAATGGAGCTCGTAATGATCGAAAACCGTCTGGGAAAGGTTAAATTAAGCTCTACTACTTAATTATTCTTTGGTCACAGTAAATCGATTATTGGTAGACAATCGTAATTAAATATTTCTTCTCAAAATTAATGCAAGTACAGGTGGCCATTAACAGGACTGGAACTATGTTGCGCTCCAACGTGATTTAAACATTAATATTTAAACCTTGGACTAAATACAAAAAAAAATTCTTTTTAAGACAAACACAAAAAAAGTGATGAACAAAATTCCTTTGTTTTCTTTATACTTAACGCCTTCCAAACACATGTAAATCCATACTCATACACACAAACACACGTGCGTAGTCTGAATCCATCCTCATTAAAATCTGTGCAATCGATAATCCACAGAGTTTCACGTGTTTAAAACCAGAATAAGCACAGGCAGAGACGCAAAGCAAAAAAAAAAGTAAATAAACACCAGAGGAGGACACCGCAAAAACCAAGAGATCCGAAGGTCGTCGAAAACAGAAAGCAGTGCAGCGCACGCGTATCCAAACACACACACACACACACACACACATCATTGACACACTTCTGTTAGCACCCGGGAGGATGTGATACAACGAGAGGAAAAATAAAATGAAAACGCGGGAGGGGTCAGGCGTGTTTTCATCGGCAAAGGTCACCAGTGACGACTTGGCGTGACGCCACCGCGCGACCACCTCCGTCACGCGGACGAGCCCCCCTCGTGTAGTACATCATACTCACTCGCTCGAGAGCAGCAACAGTTCTGACTCTCCACATAGCTCGCGAGGCACGCACCCACTCGGCCATGGATACCTACATGACACGATAATCTCTCATAGATTGATTGCTATTTCCTCCCATTGAACATTTTTTCTCGTTTTGCCCCTTAATACACTTCGGATGTATCACCACTGCGTCGAAACACTTAATTTAGGGAATCAGGTCAATTTCCGCGCTACCTCGATCAAAGACTCCGGAAAAAAACACTCGACCATGGCTATCGAACAGAACTGCTTCATTCTCTACTTTGCCAGTGAAATTATTCCAATAGTCTCTGAAGCGCTTGTTCTCGTGGTCTCGTTTTGTATGAATTCGTAAGAGTTGATTCGATAAGGGACGAGCGAAAGCCAACTGAACAGAGGAAAGGCGAGCGAGTGGTACATGTCAGCGTTCAGTCAGACGAGAGAGGAATATAAAATTATTGAAGGTTCTTGCGCGTCTATAAAAGGATTACGCTGTTTATTCAACGATAAAGTCAGCGTTGAATATGTGTGGTTGGATATTTCTTTTTTGTTATTGTTTTTTTTTTCGAAGGAGCAAAAATGGGATTGTTGTTAAAATATGATTCGAGAATAACGAGCTTGGAGTTATGGTGTTATAGCATTACCCGGGTTGAACATGGATTTAATAATTCACAAATGATTTCAACAGACAGCAAATATTTAAAGGAGAAGTGTTGCTATAATACGGCGTTCGCTCGAGGAAATTTTTCATCTAGCGAAGATACTTGTGCTAAAAATGGAAGGGAAAAAAGAGACACGAATAGATGAAAAGCATCGAACAATGATAACGAGAGCATATACACTGGAATGGAGTCTGAAGAGAGGGAGAGGCCTGGTTTTTCTAAAAATAGAGAAAGTAAGAAGAGCAGCAATGGGGATATTACACAGATCAACAGATTCCAAGTGGAAAAAAAGAGGGTGGAATGAAAAATTTACCATCTCGGAAGTGCCACCTGAGGCGCCGGAGCTTAAAGAGTCGCTCTTTGCTCTTAGCAGCGAGAGTTTGAGGAACGCAAGGTGAATGAATAAATGTTGGCGAGTTCTCAGGCATCCTGATGAGTTTGGACGTTATACTGTTCGAGAAGATGAAACGATAGTTGTGAGATTTTCTTCAAGATTTTGTCTATTTGCTGTGAGATCTGTAGGGTTGTTTTACTTTGGAACTACAATAACTTACTGTCATTGGAAAGATTCCAAGTATGTGTACTATTAAAATAAAAAAAAGACTTTCAGAGTCATTTTAAAATCATCAAAAGTGATTTAAAATCATGAGAAACTTTTAAGTCTCTGGACGTCGTCCAATGTAACCATTAAAAATATTTGATGGCTTCAAAATCTTTCCAAGTTTACAAAGGATCTTGCAAATCCGCGAAATGAGTTTTTATCTGAATTTCGAAATGCACAGCTCCTCAGAGGAAACTGAGCTTAGAATCCCTTATTTTTTGCATGCAAACTCCGAGATTGATATTTCCATTATGTTATGAGCCTCAAAAATCTTCATTTTCCATTTTCCAACTTGTAAACGCGTTTTTTATTTTCATCAAAGTAACAGCAATATTCACATTATCCGAGAATCCTCACTAGTGCCATGTTCAGCACAAGCGTTGCTACGTGATCCAAAAGTCCTCGAGCATCATTCGTTGTTGCATATGAACGAACCAACCCCTATCGATCTCCAAAAGCACCTCGTCTATTTTTCTCGTCGCACACATCCAAACAGCTCACATGCGAGGGAAACGTCCCACGAGACATGGATGAAAGTTGACAATCAAAGCCACAGCTTCAAGACACGTATTCCATATACCCTCCTCTTCTTACTCCGTAGGATGCAACGGTGCATACCGTCTCTCAACATGAAGGAAAAAATTGATATTCCAACAAAAGAGAACGGACTACCCCTTCCCCGGACGTGTCTGCGCTCCCAGTCGCACAGCCTCCCGGAGTACACACGCGTAAGCAATGAGAGCCAGCGTCGTGCGCACGAGAGCAGAGAACAGATGAAAAAGACGACCGGAGAAGGGGAGCCCGGAGGGTGGAAGCTGCGCGGCGAGGAGCGACCATCGGTGGTCTCGGCTGTCAGTAGTGCGTTGGCTGCTGCCGTCAACGTGGCGCCCGATGAGATCCCGGAGATCTCGTCTCGCTCGTTGGGAAACACAACAGCAGCGCTTTACTCCCCGGTGACGCACGGGTGATGGTTATTGCCGGAGTAATGGTTTTTCGGGTACACGCGTCAAAGTTTGGGGTCCAATAGGATAGTTTTTGCGACCAGTGCGAGGATCGGTTTTACTGTTTTGTTTCAACGAGGAAGATCACTCGGGAAGGAGCCTCGAGATTTTAGAAGAGCCATGCTCTCGATAGATTGATTCTCTCGTTGTGCAGAATCGAGTTTCTTGGACCGTCTGAGTGCTCTTTTGGTACATCTAGTGGTTTTTTTATTCTATTAATGGCTAGGACTATTGTTATCTGTATGACTTGAAGTTGCGTATTTTTGCGTTTAGACAATAGGGCGGTATCGTTTTATTTCAACAACAGCAAACCTCGTCATGAACTTTGTTTCCATCATTATTTTAACGGCAACAAGTAACAGTTGTAGGTGTGCGACGACTGGGTGAAATAGAGGAAAGAATTGATCTCTAAGTTTTACTGCTCGATTTAAAACAAAAAAAAGTACCAAACCACCCAACGTAAGATATTATACGATGCCCAAGCCAATGTGACTCCCACAGGTTGGTTATGGTGAATTCGACAGCCCCCATTCTGAGATGTTTTTGCAAAAAGCCTTTTTTATGGAGCTGAAAAATTTTGTACAAAAAAAAATTATACAGTCTGATGGGGCATCACTGATTTGAGATTTATACTGTAAAGTAATTAAAATAATATCCAACTTATATTAATAAACTGTACGTTCTTAGATTACGCAAAAAATACACGTGTCATTCTCACTGTATTCGATTTCTGGTACTATAATTTTTTGCTAATTATTGTCTCAACGAGTTGTACAGGCAAACTTTGGCATAACTCAAATGCAGTGATTTAAAAAAAGGCATTGTGCAATGCTTGGGCGGTATTCCATCAAAAGTATAACTATACTTTAGCGCAACAGTTCGCATTACATTCCGTTTCTGTCTAAACTTGGCGCACGTACGTAAAGCTCATGTATGTATCGACAAAGTTTCCATCTCGGAGTCAACGGTAGCTATACACAGTTGATTCGCGAGCGTGTGCTGAATAAATCATACGTAAATGGCCACGTTTAGGGAGAATGTAGCCTTTGGAAAAAACGACTCACGAGCCTCTACGGAAAAATTTGTTTCAACTTTTGGATTGCGTTAGTAACTCGTGCTTCAACAAAAATACTGAAAAATTACCGTTTCGAACTTTTGCAACTGGGTCTAATGTTTAAGTTTTTAAAGAATAAAAGTTATGACTTGCAAAAAAATGAAAATACCATAAAGTTGAAAATGATTCTATGCGTTCACCTTAGAGTTATTGGTAGAGTTATTGGTAGAGTTACCCGTGTATTTTTATAGCTATATTTTTTTGATTTTTAATTAAGTGTAGTCGAAGTAGAGGATGATATAGATAAATCTTGTGGTGTTTTTTTTCCATGATACTTAATATTTTAGCGTAACCAAGATTAATCTTTCAACTGTTGTCTTTGGGATAACATGTAACGACTTATGAGAATGTATACTGCATATTTAGCAGAATGAGTTACTTTCCTAAGTAGCTGTTTACAATTAAGAAAGTAGTCTCTTTGGAAATTGTTGACTCAACAAATTTTTTAAACCTTTTTTATGGCTATTACCGTCAATAAGCTTTTTTTCTACGATTTCCTGCGGTTACAAAAAGTTCAACATCGGATAAAAGCACAGGAGGAAACAGAAAGGATTAAAAAGTTATTCGTACGTGCGTCACGTTCGTAGAAAAAATACCCACTATTCAGTTTTCAGGGATATAAAATAATTTCATTACTTGGATGAAATGCTATGTACAAGTGAAATGCGAAAACTTACTGTTTTATTTATTAAATAAAAATGGCAAAGTCAAAACATTTAGTTAAAAACTGTAGCAGTAGATTTTTTGTTTTCACAATGTGAAAACAGTTTATTACGGCATACATTTCTCTTTCAATAAGATCTTTTTTGGAACATCAATTATAAAAAATATTTAAATACGATAACTAATTAAAAAGATGTTTTAAAATAATCATTCGGTCCAACTGAGTCCAAATTTACCTGCTCAAAATTACAAAAATTCACATGTGCGCATTGTTGGAAAATGGTACAAAAGTTTGAGCTGCGATTCCATTCTCACGAATACAAAAATATACCGATAGTCATCATTCCATTCATACACCGAGACAACAAAGAAAAGTGTTAAAAAAAGTCGAGCCAACCAACAGAATTGTCCCGTCGTGTTGCATTTCACCGAGAGTCGCTCAAGCGTCACAACACGGCGAGAAAAAGGGGCTTTCAATCCTTAGTGTCCTTGTACATACGTGGAAAAAATACAGGGAGAAAAAATACACGTGGGACGAAATAGATATGGCTTTTGAGTACTCGCTTTCTCTTGTATTGCACTCCATTTTTTTGTGATTTTTTTTTTTTTTTTTTTTTTTTTGAAGAAAAAAGAGCTCTTCCATCGTTCATACTTTGTAGCTCGATTTTGATGGATTCACGTAGTAGAGCTCCCCAAGAAATCTAAAGTCAAAGGATCGTGCGCGTACGATTCGAAAATTAATTATCGTTTGATATTCATTTATGTTAAATCAATAAAGCTTATGATATTTACGATCAAAGGCAAGGTATTAAATGTTAAAGGCTAAGTACGAACTTGCGAATCGCATAAGAAGGTTAACAAAATACAAATAACTGAGCACTGGCTTTAATGTTTCATAAATATTTAAAATCAAAGGAGATTATCGACTACTTTTAAAAACTTTTTTCACTTTTAAAATCATTATTTACGTACAGTCATTAATTATTTTGTTAAAGTAACAGTTTCATACAAATCGGTACCATTTGGTATATTTCTAGGCTTCCTCTTGATACGACTTTACGCAGTTTTATCCTATTATCAGCTTAAATATTAATGTAATAAATATGTTATGAAAAATATGTTTAAAGAACTCCTAGCATGACTCCCAAGTCAACATGGACTGCGTTGAATTTTAGAAGCTTATGATTACCTTGAAAAACAGCATTAAATGGTTGTTACATAAAAATACTGTAGGAATTTAAAGATCTCCCTTTGAACAGAATAAGTTTTTTTATTAACATTAAGAATAACATATATATAGCACACTCAGGCTAACACATCTGATCGTATAACATAAACATATACTTACTGTCAAAATAATTGAGATTTTTTTGGCTTGCTATCAATGAAAAGTTAAAAAAAGGTATACATGGTGAAGTGCGTGGACTAACTTTAATCTAGCTGAAGTAAGCATTATTAAAAAATAAAAACACGTGGCAAGTATGCATGTAAATTAGTAATGTCATAACTCATAGCTATAATTTTACTTGACATGATGTAAATTTTTATTTCACGTGTGAGACTTAGGTCATTAAGGCTTGGTTTGAAAATGGATAGGATTAATTACATTTAATTATTGACTCAAATGATGTAACAGTAATAAACCAATTCTAATGACTTTCAAAGTTATACTGTGAAAGTTTTATAAAAATTTATGGAAAAAACTACATTTTCTTAAAGCATTAAAAAAAAAAGTTTGGGCAACGTTATCTAAAAATTTTGTCCAGTCCTTCTGAATCTTTTATTGATGAGCCCTTACTAAAAGAAGTATTATTGGATTTCATTCTGCAACGATTTTAAGAATAAAATATTCATAAAATTACTTTTTTGCCTCTGAATAAAAAGTTCGGCAATGTCACTAAAACAAACATTGTAAAATAGTTACAAAAACTTGCTTGACACACTTGTTTATTTATAATTTGTAGGTACGTCGTGTGTTGTCTTACATTTAACTATAAAATTGTTTATCAATTAAAAAACCACCTGATTTATGTATACAAAAAGGGATGCTTTTTATTTCAACAAAAAAAAGTTTTTTAATCTACCATCTTTCTACGCTGCTCTTAATATTAAAGGATAAAAAAGAAAAAAAAACGAACTCTTAAGATTGCAAACTTTTCTTATTAATTCCTGACGTCCCTGAAAGTTATGATAGATGATGAAATTTACATAAAGAAATATTTAGCTTTTAAGCAATGTCTAATTAATATTTCGTACCAGCAGAATCGAGAAACGCAAAAATAATTGTTTTCATTCAACTCAAAACATATTGATACTAACAAGTCACTTAATCCAGTATATAATTAACTTAACGTTCAAGCTGTTGTTTTCGATTTACTTTTAAATCTTAGAATACCATACATTCCATTTTTCGAGTTGTAACAATTTAGCGCAATTGTCAACTTATTCGAATTTCTGCTGCACAATTGTAAGATTTTCATTAGGCTCGGAAAAATTGTAAAGTTAGTAAGAAAGCTGTAGGTATAACTTTAATAATAACTTAAATTTTTCGACGATGTATGTAATTATAAATTATGAAGCTCAAATCATAACTGTGATGTTTGGAAAATTTTATACCATTATACTTTTACTCTCTAAAATAGTTCGTTCATGTTGTAATTTAAAAAACTATTCGCCGGAAAACATTTAATTTTTAAAAACACTGTTAATTGTTACCATTTTGGAACATTTTTATTCACAGGATTAAATACCACATGATTAATGTACTTTAAAAGAAAAAGTGTTTGGATAAATTGTCCACCTAAAGTGAAGTAATTTTGTAAGTATCATCTGTTATTAATTCCAGCATTAAAATCAAAAAGATTATGACTATCTATTATCATGAATGAAACGAACTTCTTTCAATCTTTTTCTCATGATAATTTCAAAAAAAAGTTTGCAGTAGATCGATTCATAAAAGTTGCCGAAGAAAGTAAGTAAAGGAGTTCATTCAATGGGTTTAATTAAATTTCAAGGATGAAAACCATCTAACTAGTTCTTATCATCTTTAATCTCCTCTTCTGATGTTCACGTCAAAGGCTTTTTTCCCCCTTTGTCGGGAACGCACTTTGTGGAATCTAACCATCATAGTCTCTGAGTGCCTTATTTTGAGAATGTAAGCTATTTGATTTTTGTCACAGTTTCGTGCGCAAATTCCGATATTCAGTTCTTAATGTAAAATGATTATCAATCAACAATAACAGTTCAAGTAATAGAATTATCATGGCCATCATTATCATCAAAAAAACAATTCTCATCCAAAAAAGAACATCTTATATTTACATTTTAGTGATAAATTTGATTATAATAATTTGAATTACGAATTTCAACATTTTGTGTTATAGTTTTTTTTTTTTTTTTTGGTGGTTCTTTCATGAAATGATTATGAACATAATGACACAAAATCTTGAGGAATCATTTATCAAATAACAATACACTACTTGTCCAAATTTTAGAGTAGGCTGACAAATGTAAGCGCAAGAAAATGATAAATGAAAAGTAAATTCTAAACATGTACTCTTATGACAACTAAGCATTTCTTTAGTGAAAGTTGTCGCCTAGTTATTTATTTACTCAACATATATAAGTAAAAAACTGACACAACAAAGTTTATGTAATACTAAACATACTATTATCTCGAAATACATATGCTCATGGACTTAATCAAAAGATATTAAAACAAAGCTAGGCATGCATTTTAATTTACCATTTTAAAAATATAGGCAAGCATCTACTGCTGATATTTCGAGATTAAACGCAAATTATACATAACCGTTCTTATTAAATTTTACATCGAATATCCTAAGAGTTTGAATAAGTACTTAATTTAATTCAACAAACAATATTTACACATAATTGTTCGAAATTTAAGCAGTTTTAATCAATATTAATTTGATTGTCCCACCTTTGACTCGGGAGTTATGAAAGAACCACCTTAAGTATGTCTGCAACGTGATTAGATAGATATTATCACATGAGTATAGGTATAATTTATAAAGTTTGTTTGAATCACATATAAAAACAAAGTTTCAGAATCGTACTTGTGATTGTCATCCAATTTCAGTATGTAAGAGTATTTATCTTGTTAAAAAAATATTATGTAGTTTTATTCTCATCCAAAAAACGAATTAGTCACAAAGTATGACATTCAAAACGCCAATGTTTCAGTGAAATGCCATGCATTTTTTTCAACATGTGTGAAAATATATAACAAAAGTTACTAAAGTTAACTTATTCAGCATTAATATAGTGAATCATTAATAGGAATGCACACAAAAGTTTTTAATTAAAGTGAATCGATCAAATAACTTCAAAATGCAGTTGACATCAGTTAAAGTTATTATGACTTATATTTTTTAAAAATATGAGAGTACAGGGATATTGAATTTTTGTTACAAAGCCACAGCTGCTATTCGTGTGTTCTATACTAAGTAAAATCAGTTACCATTGGTTAATGCTCTAGCTTACAAAGTGAAAGAATGATCCGTAAAAACATTTGTTGTCAAAATTATCAGAAAACTGCACGCAAACAAGGCTTGTCTTACTTATGTGTCTAGAAAAATAAAAAATTTCTAACTTGCCCAACAAATATTGCAGTTTACGTCGGCTTACAA